GCCACCGAGGCCTGGGATGGGGTCAAGAGCAGCGTCCCGCTGCCAGCGCCGCTCCAGGCCCCGGAGCTGGAGGAGAAGTGGAGGAGCTGCTCGTGCTAGAGGTGGGCACTGGGACCCGCGCGGTGCTGCCCGCAGTGGGGCACAGGAGCACATTAAACACCCCTGTTCAGCGCTTCTCCTGCCTGTGTGTGAGTGGGAAGGGGCAGGATGGGGCAGTGGTGGGTGTCACCCATATCCTCTGCTTTCCACACACTGTTCTGAAGCTGCCCCTATCCCCTGGGGGTGTCACCAACCCCAACTCATCTGAACCCCCTTTTACTGCCCAAGCCATTCACACAGAGCTGCTCCACTCCATGCTCAGAGGGCCATGACCAGCAGCTCCTCCAGCGCACCCCAAGCTGGGACCCAAACTCACCTCCATTGCTCATCCTCAGTCACCACATCCTCACACACTGTTCTGAAGCTGCCCCTATCCCCTGGGGGTGTCACCAACCCCAACTCATCTGAACCCCCTTTTACTGCCCAAGCCATTCACACAGAGCTGCTCCACTCCATGCTCAGAGGGCCATGACCAGCAGCTCCTCCAGCGCACCCCAAGCTGGGACCCAAACTCACCTCCATTGCTCATCCTCAGTCACCACATCCTACGATCCAAACGTCCAAGCCACAGGCAAACCCCTCACCTTGGGCTGAAGGCAGGAGGGGACAGCACCTGCCCAGCTCCATCCACACAGCAGAGACCAGCCCAACCCCTTCCCCTCCCTCTAACAACCCCAGGGGCAAGGGGATCTTGCCCCAGAGCAGCACCACAGCCAAACCCAGGTGCTGGAGCTGCTGCCCCTTTCTCTCTGCACACAGCAGCAGAGCACCAGAGCCACAGCTTTAGATTAATAACTTCTTTATTCCTGTAAAACGAAGGCAAGTCTTTATAGAAACACTGACATTACAAAGTACTGGGGCAGGAGGGAGGGAACGAAAACTTCTACAGATGCTTCTAATACTGTCCCACACAAGATCAAACGCTCTGTCCCCTGGATAATCACCGATAGGATAAACCCCCTTTCAAGTCACAAAGAGTCTTTGTTTTTGAGACCCGTCGCGGGAGGAAGGGGCTGGAGAATGGGTTTGGCAGAATCTCCTCAGCAAGTCAAGGTATTGCTGCACCATGAAGGAAAACTCGATGTTTCTCTGTAGAGCATTAAACCCCCGACCCCAGGGGTGGTGCTGGGGGGGCTCCAGCGGAGGCAGATCCCAAACACACGCGGCTTCTCCCTCCCGGCTCAGCCCAGGGTTATTTCTTGGTAGTTTTGCGGATCAGCGCCATTCTCTGCAAGACAAAGAGAAGATCCTTGGGAAGGCGAGTGCCTGGGAGGAGGTTCCTGCAGAGCAGCCTGGAATGGGGTGTCTGGGGTTCCCTCGGGACATGCGCTGCCTGACCTGCTCCCACACAGGTCTGGCAAGTCTGCTTGAATCTTAATGGGGTCCCAAGTGGGAGCCAGAGGCAAAGGAAGTGCCTGTGCTCCTCAGCATGGGAAATGGGTGCTGTGAGGGATGGGGATTGCAGGGATCAGATCCCAGCTCAGGGGCTCCTGTCTCTGCCCAGCAGTTACTGCCAGAGCCTTAGGAGGGGAGATACAAAATTGCCTACAGGAGACCTGGAGAGGGGCTTTGGACAAGGGATGTAGGGACAGGCCAAGGGGAATGGCTTTAACCTGCCAGAGGGGAGACTGAGATGAGCTCTGAGGCAGAAGCTCTTCCCTGTGAGGGTGGTGGGACACTGGCCCAGGGTGCCCAGAGGAGCTGTGGCTGCCCCATCCCTGGCAGTGTTCAAGGCCAGGTTGGACACAGGGGCTTGGAGCAACCTGCTCTAGTGGAAGGTGTCCCTGTCCATGGCAGGGGTTGGAGCTGGAAGAGCTTTAAGGTCCCTTCCAACATAAAGCACTCGGTGATGCTGTGATCCTATGGGAATCATCCAGCAGCTCCTGTGAGGCAGCTCCTCCCCCAGCTCTGACCATGCACTTAAAACCCAATGTCCTGATGCAATTAGAGCAGAATTAAGGGAGGAAAAGCCCCCAGAGCTGCTCAGCTCCAACCTGCACTGAAAGCTCAGGCCAGCTCCTGCAAGGGAGCAGCTCACAAGGCACTGCCTGATGCCCTCAGCTGTTTTTTAACCCTTCTAAGCCAGGCTACCCTTCAGACAGCAAGTGCTGCTGCTTCTCCTCGGCACAGCCAGCACCGCAGCACCACAGAGGAGCCCAAGCAACACCAACACTCTCTGCAGAAACAGAACGAGGAGCCTCTGGAAGTGATTTCAAGTTCAAAGCACTTGGAAGAGGCCACAAATTCACATCGTGCCACGAGTCCAAGACCATCCCGCCCTATATCACACTTGTGCCTTTGGCTCCTCACCTGTTTGTGAGCTTCTGTAGTGCAGGCTTTCTTGTAGGGCCTGATCTCTTCAGAACCAAAGCCTGGGATCCACATGTTCCACTGACGCTCTAGACGAGAGAGCACAGGTCAGCTCTGCCCCAACTGCTCACTGCAAGAGCAGCCTCATCATTGGAAATGTCCTGAGAGCACAGCAGTCCTAGAGACGTGCTGGGGATCCACACACCAGCTATGAAAGGGAGCCCCCAACATGAGAGGGATGTGGAGTCGTTGGAGCAAGTCCAGAGGAGGCCCTGGAGCTGCTGCGAGGGCTGGAGCAGCTCTGCTCTGGAGCCAGGCTGAGAGAGCTGGGCTGGGGCAGCTGGAGAAGAGAAGGCTCCTGAAGGGGAGACCTTAGAGCAGCTCCAGTGCCTAAAGGGGCTACAGGAAACCTGGAGAGGGGCTTTGGACAAGGGATGGAGGGACAGGACAAGGGCAATGGCTTGAACCTGCCAGAGGGGAGACTGAGATGAGCTCTGAGGCAGAAGCTCTTCCCTGTGAGGGTGCTGAGGCGCTGGCACAGGGTGCCCAGAGAAGCTGTGGCTGCCCCATCCCTGGCAGTGTTCAAGGCCAGGTTGGACACAGGGGCTTGGAGCAACCTGCTCTAGTGGAAGGTGTCCCTGCCCGTGGCAGGGGCTGGAGTTGGAGGAGCTTTAAGGTCCCTTCCAAAATGAACCAGTCCAGGATTCTCCGCAATCAAACACAAAATCACTCACCAAGATGTAACTGCACATCCTTCACTTCCAGGGTGTTGGACTTGCGGTGCCGTGCGAGCTGACAGGCCGCTGTCACCACGCTCTCGATGAAGTCATCAGCGATTTGCAGCAGCATCTGTGGCAGGACAAGGACAACAACCAGTTTTCTCAGTACTGAGCAGCTGAAGTTATGCACCAAGTATGAAAATGAGCCCTCAGAAGTTCCCGTTTCAAAGGGGTTTGCTACAATTCCTGTTTGAAACCCCTTCTGGCACTGCGATGCAGAGACAGATGTGGATGGTTGAAGGCTGCAGCAACCATGAGAACACACAAGTGTAAAGTGAACCAACCCTCCCTGCTCCAGACAAAGTGTCCATGGAAAAGCCCAGATCGGCTCTTTCTGCAGCCCCTGGCACAGGTCGGTACCTACTTCCTCCACGTCCTCATCCAGCTGCTCGTTGGGATCCACCTCACGCACCAGGTCCTGCAATTTCTTCTTGGTTAAAACCTGAGAGTGTGGGAGAACAGGAGGCATTTACTGCCCTGCTTTAGCCAAACCCTCTTCCCCAGCTACCTCTGAGGCCCAAGTCACATGTTGGCACAAGGATCAGTTCAGGAGTGGCAGAGATGAGAACTAGTAGGTGTTCAAGAGCCATTTCCAAGCACCAGCAGTTGCTCTGAACAGAAAGTGGGATGCAGGTGGCCAAGATAAATAAGCCTCCTGCACTCAACTAGTGCTACAATGCTGAAGCAAGAGGGGACGAAGGCAGAATTAGAAGCCTTGAGAGGCAGACAGCAAGTGCAAGCAACCTATCAGTGACTAAATCTGTGCTCAGGGCCCAAGGGAAGTATTTCCATGGCTCTGGCTCTTATCAGCTTTAGTGCTTCCAATGGAAAACACAGAGATCTGTGAGTGTGGGCTTACTCGGGGGCAGAAGGGAGCAGTCCCCCAGCCTAAACATGGCAGGGAGGAGAAATCCTGCTGCTGAGCAACAGCAGGACACTTGATTTTATAGGATATGGATACAAGTTATCCCCATGGATCTGTCAGCCGAACCAGACACACTTGGGAAACTCCTGCCCTTCCTGGTGCCATCACACCCTATTTGTGTAAGGGCACAATTCCCAGGGAGGTCCTGGCCACCAGGGCACATCCTGGGCCAGATGGGCAGCAACAGACTCGATACACAGCAGAGACTCCCCATCAAGCACCCACACAGGTCAGCAGCGATGCCACCCCATAAGACAGAGGCCCCTTTAGGCACTGGGAGCTGCTCCCCTGTTGGCCTGAAGTCAGGGCTGAAGTTACCTGGTTGCTTTCAGGGCTGAGGCGTCCTCCTCCGCTGGGCGTTCCAGGCATCTTTGCCACGGTGGTGCTGTTGGCCATGGAGCTCTGAGGGGGGGTGCTGGCTGGTTCTGGCTTTATCGAGGAGAAGTTGGAGAGGTTGATCAAGGTCGAAGGACCAAACTGGTTCATAATCTGATGGGCTTTAGCTTTTAGATCATAAAGTTTATCTAGGTCCTGCTTCTTCTTGGGATGGTGGGGACCCAAACCAATCAGCTGGGAAAGGAAAGGCAAGGCATGGTTAGCAAACAGAGAGGGAATTTAACAGGGTGATCACATCTTTGTCTGGTTAAACAGTGTCCTGGCAAAGCCTGGAGGTCTGTAAGAGGCTGGGTCTCTCTGGACAAAGCAGGAAGGGAGGAGCAGCATTGAGAAGAAGAGAAAAGCTTCCCTGGTCCAACACAATGGTTGGGCATGAGAAGCACAACAGCTTCAGCCACTGACAAGAGGCAGCAGCTCTGACCTGCCTGCTTATTCCTCACACTGAATCCCACTTATGTCCACCCTCTGGTCAAGACCCTTCTTCATTCCACAGATTCATGGAATGGTTTGGGTTGGAAAGGACCTTAAAGCTCCTCCAGCTCCAACCCCTGCCCCGGGCAGGGACACCTTCCACTAGAGCAGGTTGCTCCAAGCCCCTGTGTCCAACCTGGCCTTGACCACTGCCAGGGAGCACAGATTTCCCCTGGACCACAAACAGCTTTGTGGAAGAGACCACACGAAGAACACTGAAGCAAAGGCAGCAACATGGGAGTGGCAGAGACAGCGTTTGAGTCTTCATCTCCACGATCCACGGGCCTGAAAAGACAGGGTTCAAGCCCACTCAGGTGCCTGCTGCAGTGTGGTCTCATTTCTGGCACCACCACGCTTCAAGCCCACCTTGCAGTGACCCCTCAGAAAATCACATCAGCTGGGTTGGAAAAGACCTTTAAGCTGATCAAGTCCAACCTTTACCCCAGCACTGCCAAGGCCACCACTAACTCATAGCTGGACAACACAGGATTTGCTTCCAGGTCTGGCTGCTCAGAGGTAACACGTGTGATGGAGACACACGTGTGCTCACTTCGGTTGGCTCTTCCCACACCAGGCACTGACAGTCACAGTCCATGAAGTCAGGTCTCCTGAGCTGTTAACAGTGAACCAGGAGCCTTGAGCTCTTCCAGGTTCTCCCTTCAGTGCCTGAAGTTACTCAGGCTACTGGAGCCGAGCTGAGGAATGGTTTGATGTCAAAGCCCCTCAGGCAGTGGCTGCAGCTGGGCCCAGAGATGGGTGAGAAGCAGCACCAAGAGCAGCCACCTCCCCTGCAGAGCCCATCCATCCCGGAGAACTTCCAAGAGAAGAGAGTTTAAGCAGCCCCACAGCATGTTTGCATCCCAAGGGATGAACAGAGCATCCGCTACCTGGGCTCCAGACGTTCTCCCATCATCAGGACAAGCTTTGTTAGTCTGGATTAATTCACACCAAAACAGCCCAGAAACCAGGCAGGAGCACTTGGAAGCGGCTGCTTTAGTGCTTCACTCCAAGGCACACTCATGCACAGATGGACACAGAGCCCCTGGAGGAGGATTTATGCCGAGGACACCCTCTGTAGCCCCCTCAGCAAGTTTCTACCTCAACTGTAACTGAATTAACAAGGGAAAAGCAGGATTCTCACACTTTAAAGCCCCTCAGCTGGCATTTCAGGACGAGGAGCTCACCATAAGCTCAGGAGGGACTTCACATGAGGCTTGGTTTTGGTTCAGGCTGATCTCGGGCCACTCACCCCACACCTCACTTCACAAATACACAAAGCAGGAATCCTCCCCCACCGTGCAGGGGGGAAATCCTTGGCCAGGAAGCACTTTATGAGCATAAAGTTGTTTCATTCCTTTTATTTCTCCCCCTTTGCAGGTTGTGAAGATCCCCGAAGCCAAAACTAAGGCATGTTGCAGATTCCCAGGCCAAATCCCACATGGCAATGCCAGGGTTTACTTTCAGCTGAGTGTCTACATCTTCAACTACAACAGCAACCACTGTGGGGCCAGCAAATGGAGAGGCCGTTTCCCAAAGCCTTCACCCTACTCTTGCCTCTTCCACACAACTCCTTTCTACAGGAACACCGGATACTTTCTGGATCACCCATTCAGGTGGAGAGAGGACACGGGGGCGCCTCAGGCAAGAAGCACACACTGTCCTTACAGCACCAGAGGGTTTATCTATTAGAAGACAGGACCCGGTCCCAAGCAGGAGCTGCCACAGAGGACGAGGCGTCTCCCAGGATCCTAAAGCAGGAGGAAAAATCTGGCCCAATTCAATCCTCGTGTCACAAAACAGAGTATGTGCCACCAGCAGCTGAGCCCGGAGCTCTGCAGCAGAGGCAGGGATGGGTCTGGTGGCTGCCATGGGCACTGCTGCCTCTCAGCCTTCTGCTGTAGCTCACTGAGCACTGGTCCCACAGCTCTCTACAGTAAAGCCAAGCAAACCCTCAGCACATGCTTCTCTGAAGACACGAGGGTTTCCAGCAGCTCTACAGGGTTTATAGAGGGCTGACGATCCGGGTGCCTCATTGACAGAGAAACCTGGGAAAGCCTCTGGGCTTTGCTTTGGTTGCATTCAACGAGACAAACTCCTCCCTCTCACTGCTAAAGGCTCCAAGCTTGACCCACCCGGTGCCCTCCTCAAAGGGAGTTAATAACAACTCCCTTTTTCCCCCTGGATGCGTGTTCAGGCGCTGGCGGGT